TTTTTAAACGGGTAATCCGAATGTTTGTTGGGCCATTTGCGCGCTCCACGTACAATCGGAAATATATAGAAAGATAAACTCCACCGAAACGAGAAAAAGTCCACCTTTATCGATTAACGAGAACAGTGAGTTCGCATTTCAATTTATTCGGGAAAAAATCGGGTTTAAATTTTGAATTTATATTTTAATTTTACTTGTTCTGTTGTCTTGATCTCTGTTTCGTAGCTGGGAAAAAAAAAATCCGAGGAATGAAATGTAAATTCATATTTATCCATAATTTTTTTTTAATTCAGCTACGCCAAACACAATAAATCGTTTGAGAATTATGATTAAAATCTTCTGTTGTATTGTTGCATTACTTTTGTGTTATCTGTTTATTTAGGCTGATTTTAATTTTTGTATGACAATTATATCATGTTTTCTTGCTAAAACCTTCCTCGCGATTAAATAATAATTAAATTTGCTGTAATAGTTCTTAGCGAGGCATTAAGTGTGCAATTGAGCGTGGGTGAAAATTTTAAGCTTGATTTTTAATTTGTTTTAGCAGTTAATTTTCGTTGTACTGTTTCATTGTTTTTGTGTTATTTGTTTATTATAGGATGAAGGGAAGCTCGTATATTAGTTATACCATGTTACCATCAGTTGTCCAGAGTTTTGCTGCGAAAACCTTCCTCACGATTAAATGTTTTAATGTGCTTATATATACTCGTTTTCACAATGTGTTAAGTGTGCAATTGAGTGTAAAGCTTGAATTATGTGTTCTCTTTCACAATCATAAATGGATTCTGTTTGCATTAAAGCTTGATTTGTATTCTGTTTTATCATAAATGATTTCTATTAGCACTTTATTTCTTTCTGTATATGGTGATTTAGAATTAGTTAAGTGTAATAACAGATTTGTGTAAGATGCAATAATGAAACTTTTTTTTTTACATTTTTGAAATTGATTGAATAAAATGTTTTCTTTTATTCTAGATATTTCGAATTGAAATGAAAATTCATGTATGTGGATGTTTTTTTTAAGTTGTTTTACTGATAAGGCATTTCTTTCTTGTTTTTCCCTCTTTGAGAAGTACTTTGTTTCCAGTTGATGAACTCGGTAATTCGTCATTAGATTTGAGATTGAAAGATGCTGATGGGTCGTGCTGAGGGTCTACCAAAGCTAGAGTCAGCAAAAGATTTGTTGCTTTCTGACCCCGTATCTGAGCTAGATGGAGATGTAGAAGCTGATATCCCTTCACAAATTCTATACACGGCTTCATTTGAAGAACTAGCATCAAAAAACATACAGTACGATACAATAATATGGGTCTCAATATCTCTACTGCTGGTTTTAGCATGGGGTATTGGGATCATTATGTTGCTGTATTTGCCTTTTAGAAGATGTGTGATTAAGAAGGATATAGCATCTCGCAAGCTCTATGTTACATCGAAAGAAATAGTTTACAAGGTTTTTCATCTTCTAATGAATCGATTTTTCATTGTTAGCTTCACCTTCAAGAGTGAAATATTATCTGGAGCTAACGTATGACAGTTTTCTTCATTTCTAGGTGTCAAGGCCTTCATTTATACCCTTTTGCGGAGAAAGGAAAATTGAAAAGCATGTACCTCTATCCTTGGTTATCGATATTATCGTTGAACAAGGTAGTATTACTTTCATGGTTCTCCTCTTTTAACCAACGAGTTTTGTCAATATTCTATTCTTTTTTTATGTCCTAAATAGCTTCGTTTGAAATATCCACGGGACTCAGTTTCCTTGTCTTATTGTTTTATGATGAGGAATGTGACCAACTGTGATAATTGAAGCGATACTAGGTTTTCAATTCTATTCCACCTTTCTAATAATTATCCAATACCCAACTGCAACATTTTACCATCCAAAATTAGACGTGAGGTGACATTGTTGCCGTGATCAGTAAGGCCTTTTAGACATCCGTGACAGATTAGCATGACTCGTTAGCTTCCACATATTCAATGCATCCATACCAGTCTAATGCAGGTTTCCCTCTCTGTGGAAGCATGTGGAAATTGGATCCTTTTATCTAGTGAATAACAATCACAAGCAATTTACTAGATTTTGCATGGGTGCTTTGTTTTGTGCCGAGAGGAGATAAGACGTTAGGAGAGAGTAAATTCTTCTGGTGGAAAACCTGCATTTTGAGCATCTTTGAATGTGAGCTAGATGAGATCTTAAATTCTGAAGTTTCAGAAAAACAAAAATAAACTATTAGTTCACATGTACATTTCCAGAACAGATGCGCACGCCCTTTTCATGCCCCTTTTTGTACAACTTATGCGTGCACCGGCAGTGTGAGTATTTTGTTGTGAATTTGGTCAAATTAAATAGGTACATTTAGTTTCCTTGTACTCATTTGCCACATTTTTTTCTCCTTTCCTCTCAAAGTGAACAAGTGGAGTTACATACCTTTATTTATGTGCAGGTTTCTTGCAGTCAATGTATGGAATTCATACCTTTAGAGTTGAAAGTATAGCACATGGTAAAGCTGCACCAGTTGACGAATTGCAGGTTCAAGGGGTTTATAACCCTGCACTTCTGAGGAAGGTACTTCTTACCATAATTCCAAATTTATCATTATGTACCTTTTGGCAATATCATCAGAAGTTATGAATTATTCTTAACATACCAATGATCTATCTTTTGCTATTTGATAACACTAAGAAGTATAATGCTTAAAGAATTTTAATGATATGCAGGTTGTCGTAACAGAGGCTTCAAAGGCCATACAAAATGTTAGCAATAGTTGGAATCTTAATTCTCAAATTTTGGATATGGAAAGCTTGGTTCGTATGGAATCTCTAACCTTGGGTCCAGCTGTTTTGAGATCTCCATCTACAGGCTGGAAGGTAAATAGTAAAAACTAGATTTTTGACCTTGTTCTGGGCTGGACATCTGATAAATGGCTAAGTCGAAACGTAATGCTCACTTCAAGATGCTTGTTTTCTAATCGGCATTTTTCAAGTCTAGTACCTATCAAGTCCCTGTGGTCGGTCATTGTAAATTATTCTTCACTGCTAAATATCAAAGAAGAAAACTGAAATTGAATTTCAAATGCCTAACAAACTTCTTGGTTGGACAATCGTGTAATGCTTAGTGCTCGAGTCCAAGAGTCGGGTGCAAAAATTATTGAAAACCACTTACCTGTCTCACCATTTTTCTCTAAGACATGAAATATGGTCCCGAATGGGGTTTGGGGACCCTACAGGATTGATAAAATAGCCATCCATAGACCTCTAGGGTCATTCCTTTTAAATTTTCAACATCATAATCTATATGGTTTTATACCACAAATTCCGTATTCTCTTCTCCTGCCAACTCTTTCCAAGAACATTGAACTGAAAAATTTGCACATTTTATGTTGGATATGGAGCTCTTGCTCAATTACGTGAAGTCAAGGTTACCTTGGTTATTTGTGATTGTACCAATTGCCCTGTTATTTGGATTACTCTTACTAGAGTAATGTGGAACTGTAACCTTGCTCAATTTGCTTTCAGTGTTTTTTTCTTTTTCATGGTAATTCTAAGAAGTACATTGTGCTTTATTGAAAACAAATGAAGAAGAATGGAAACAGTGTTTTTTTGTGCTAAATATCTGAATAATGTTTCCTTCACTGGATTATTGATCAACAAAATCAATTACAAAAGTTTGTGTTCCTATGTTGCCAGAATCTCATGACAGGATCTTGAAGATTGATAATTTTTCATTTTCATGACTTCAAGATTAACGTCGTTTAGAAGATATAACTTGTCATAATAGGTGCTCCATTTTTAGAGAGCCAGGGGTTTCAGTCAGTGGATCATCTCTTTTTGCTTGTATAGTGATCAGACAGTGCCCTTCGTATAGTTCAACGATATAACTAAGAGAAGTGCAGACGAGTATTTTTTGGGGAGTGTGTGT